CCTCCCTCCTGCCATCTTCCAGCAGTGACGTCACGGTGCGGTAAGCCTAGCGCCATTCTNCCAACATTTGGAAGAAGAATGTTTTCAAGATGACTTGGATAATAGCGCGTTGTGACAAACACCAGATACAGCACTGGGACTTGATCAACAGCCGAAACCCGCCGTGACGTCACAAACCAGTAGGTGGCAGTAGTGTTCTTTGACAAACATGGATGCCTCCAGTAAAGAACATTCAAATGAAAATCACTCTGAATTAAAAACACAGATAATTTATTGAACAGGATGGAATCATTTCAGATTTAAAGAACTTTCAGAAGTTTGAATTCTGAATATGACCGGACTTTTCCTTTAAAGTACTTCACATGTTATTTTTCTCTTTCTGCCAGTTTACAAAGCCGTGGTATGGTGGGTCCCATGGTGCAGCTTTAAAGATAAACCTGGGTGTAGCAAGAAAACATTCCAGCCCAGCATCTAGGACACCATCACCTGCCCATCCCAAGCTGGATATACCGACTGTTTCTACCCTATCTGTGCCGCCTGTCTGCAGTCCAAGCCAGGCCTCATATTCAGACTCTCCTCTTTGTCTCTTGCTCTTTTTTTTTTTCTTTTTTTTTCTGAAGCCACTTCTGCTTCCTGTGCTTTATGAGCTGCTTCAAGCGTTACAAGAAATTCTTGAATTTATTTTTTGTTAATTATTGTTGGATCACATAAACATGGTACAATTTACCAGTTACCAGCCAGTTGCTGTCTGCTAGAGTCCTTCTTCGTTAAAGTGTGTGATATTTACAGGAGCCCCAAAAACATGGGAAATCAGACCAGGTGGACTCTCATTGTAGGGACTACAGTTAGATCCTGTGTAGCCTGTGCTACCAGCACAATGATAGTGGCCCCAACAAGTATTATGGCCTAATTTACTGCCCACAAACAGCTGCTGTGCCACTTAACCAGTGGATGGAGCAGATGAAGAGTGCAGAAAACTTTAAATAATTAAGTCAATAGGCGTGACCACCTGTGTATTTTTCCTGGATGACGCAATTACATTAAGCGTTACAGCCAACCACCGAAACTTGGTACCGAAAGACGAGGCATGATTTGATACTCTGTAGAACCGAAGCATTTCGGTCGGTACCATAAAACAACCGAAGTTCGGTACCCAGCCCTACTCATAGAAATATGAAATTTACCAGAAAGGGGAATTATGCTATTGCTGACAGATCCTAAGGTTGTGAGATGTTATTTTCAGAAACATTTATTTGATATAATTATATTATATATTAATTATATTCATAAGCAGTAGTACTAGAAGTATATATAAAATATTAGTATAAAATTCTTTTTTATCAATATCACTGAAATAAAACAATACAATTACAAGAACAGGAAATAATAGAATTGCTGGTAGTGAGAAGTGATTGTTTCTATAATAAAAACTAATCAAATTAATCATTTTAAGCCGTAGTAGTTGCAGCAGAAGTATAAAAGTCTTATTTTTAATCAATCTTAATAAGCATTCCAACTACAAGAAAGAGTGCATATAGATCCACAAAGATCCACAGTGAGTGAAAAATAATTACCAGAAGAAAAATTTATAATGTATTAAAAGCAGTATTAAGTGTATGGTGGTATAATATTCTTCCCTGCGTTGTTTTTATTGCAATAAATTGAATTATTATTATACTCACCAATTGTATTAGTATCAGTTTTAAATCTGTATTTGATAGAATTATGGCAATTTTTTAAAATAGTTGCATGTCCCAAGCGGGATACGAACCGGCCATTTTCAATTTTGTTTTCTTCCTCTCCCTTTATTTCCCCTCCATCCCGTTCTTTCCTCCTTCTTTCCCCTCCCTTCTCCAGAGTATTGTTCCCCAGCATTAGTGGTGCACCAACTAGCCTTTTTAAAGGACAGAATGATTCTGCTTTTGCTCCTTAACACTCTGAAAATGGCCAGATTTAAATTATGTTAAGGGTCAATTTGACCCATTTCAGTTTTTGTGTTGATCAAAGTATTGGTTATCTTTTTTTTTCTTCATGAAATTTGGTGACTTTTCCTCATCTGGGGTCATGAACATGTATGTAAAATCTGAACACTCTGATGTGTAGTGGAGTGTCTGTGCAGAGTATGTATACAAATATGATCTTGTGGGTCATTTTGACCCGGACACTTTAAAGGAATAGTACACCCAAAACATGATTAGCCTTCATTTTCTACTCACCCCCATGCTGAACA